ACAGCAGCGATATGTAAATGAAAAGAGATCAGGGCCTTATAACTGTAGGCTAAATAGGCAGATATATGAAAATGTGTTGGGTTTTATTACATCACAGAAACAATAAATTCAAAATGGGCTGTTTTTTTGGCAGGTTAGTTCCCATATATGGACTGTATGGACTGAGGATTGAATGATACATTTTGGAATCTTTAGTTTACATACTAAAGTAGTTTACATACTCCATCAAGCTCTTTTATTTCAAGAAAGTGAAGTAAATGTTTCCAGTTTTCCATGATATGGGCCCTTTAAACTCTGTAGCAGCTGCTGTAGTTGAAAGTGCTGCACTGAAGTTTGTTCTATTACAGAGAATATTTCTTTTAGGGAGACAGAAACAGAACCAAATTGTTAGAATTATGCTGGGAAGATTTTTTTTGTAAACAGATGTCCTTGTGTGTTTGTATGATGACATGTAACTATAAGTAAGCTGATCTGCATCACACAGTGCAGTTGCTGACTCTGAAGCAAGGGGTCGAAAGTCATTGTATGAGATCATCGGGGAGGCGCAGTGGATTTGCTGTTGATCAAAAATCCTGATGTCATACTCCAGCTTATTGGAGAGATTACATAAAGCTGTGTTAGCTCTGCATTCACTCACTGCTCTCTCTCTCTCTCTCTCTCTCTCTCTCTCTCTCTTCTCTTTCTCTCTCTCTCTCTCTGGGGGGAAATCCCCCTCACAAATCACAGCGGTGCCCCAGTGCCTGGGAACACGAGAAACAGGGCTAATGTAGATTTACTGCGAAGGAAAACAAATTAGACGTGGGGACGAGTGCACACGCTGCTCAGCATTTAGTTCTAGCAGCTCTGATCCCTGAATCTGGACACAGCTTTACAGGACAAACTGAGATTGGTGGGGAAAGGCTCGGTTTTTACTTTCAGTTCCAATTTAAGACCCTTTCTTAGGTTAAGGGAGCACTGTCTGATTCTTTTTTGGAAATGACTTTTTGGATATTATGACACGTACAAGCAACAGGAGGGAGAAAGACATTTAAAAACAATAAAACAGAGTAAAAGACAAGATAAACTCAGTGTTCAAAAATTTTATATAATTCTGTGGATAAAATGTAAAGAGAGTCATTCAGGGTGTTTTGGTGTGAAACGGTTGATTATAGAGATTTCTTTACAGTGGTGGTGATAAGAACCAGGGGTCACAATGTCTACAACACAAATATAGCCATTTTATTTACTATCCAAAACCACCAGTGAACGTACTTGAGTTTTTATATGAAATGTTGATGGTAAAATAGTGATAAATCTGAAACAAATTAGTTTTCTTTGGTGACTGTTTTGTCTTAATGCCCTGCATGTTCCTCTTGAATGTGTTTTTTTTAAAAATGTTTTAAACCATAAACTGGCAGCTTATTCATAAATATTTCATGAAATAACTTTCTGTGAGGGAGCTTTTAGAAACATTAAACTCTTCAGATGTCTGGTTCCTGTCACCACCACTGTGAACAGTGCATTTCATACCAAACCACTCTGAACGGCTTTTAATTTTAACCATTTTATTATACAGAGTTAGCAGAAGTAAAAATGAGAAAAAATGCAAATACTTTCACCTGGAATAAGAAATAAAAAGTAAATATGTAAGTGATGTATGTTGTACACATGAGAATAATAAATAAGAGCATGGAGCAAAACAACTGCAGATAACAGAGAAGCAAGCAGGACAGAGCTTAGTTAACTGAATGGATCATAAAGTATGTCAGACAGGGTTTGTTTTTTGTAATTTAATATTTATTTGAGTTTGATAAAAGTGATAAACAAGCATATGATATAAGGCATAGAAATAAGGTAAAGCCTTTTATTCTCATCCCACCCACCCCACCATCAGACGATGTTTAAAAGATGCTTATATTCTATAAAAGTCAGAGAAATCTGACAGTGTGTGGAACTGGACAAAATGAAAAAAATATATATATATTATGAAGTTGAAAACCTGACTTGATAGGTACTGTATAAAGTGGTCGGGCTGGGATTCTGCCAAAAAGACAACATGAAACTCAGTTAATTATATGTTAGTATTTCTAAATGTTGAAAGAAAACAGCAGACAATTCTAAAAAACTGAAAAAGGCAGCTAATGTTGTTGTTTTATTCTGTAAGACAAAAATATAATGCGCACCAGTGCAGTACACAGCAAATAATGTTGCAGTATTTAAAATATGCATACACTAGCATTCAAAAGTTTAAAATCATTGTTTTCAATGATAATATGATAATATAATGATATGATAATGATAAATATCTGGTTGCAGATAAATGTATAAAATAATTGTGATCTTTTTCTAATCTGTACAATTTCACATGTTTCTAATGATCTAATAATCACTAAGAATCTGTAAATAAAAATGAAGAAATATTAGATGATCCAGAATGATGAACAGAGATGTAGAAGACTCTAAAATGACTGAGGAAGCTATTGAACATTGAAAATGAAGTTATAATAAAATAAGTATCCCAAATTCATTATATTTCAACTATAGAGATGCAGTTTCGCAGCAGATAACTGAGAAAATGTGGATGTAACTAGACACAGATAACAGTGTATAAGTTATCATTTATTCAGTTTTTGTTCAATGAAGTTTTGAAATATTGAATAAAACACTTAAAAGTACTTTTTGTTAAATAGTTTATAATATTTAAGTTATTGTTGTGTATAAAATAATGAAAAATGATTAATATGACAAGTGATTCCAACCTTTTGAACAGTAGTCTTATCAGAATGTAATGTTAAAAGTCACTTCTAATTAACTAGGCCAACAATTTTCCTGAAAGCGCTGTTAATTTTAGTCACTTCTTTACAGTCATGTTGGTTTTTCCAGCTTAGTCTTTTGTAAATGATGAAACTGAGTGATCTGGCTGATCATCATCACAGCTGCCAAAAGATATTGCCGGTTTCCTTAGAAAAGTTTTGTCTTTACCCAATTTCTCAAGTAGTTTGCTTTACTCTCTGATGTGTAGCTTTGGCTATTGCTAACTAGACAGCCCTTAACTTTTACCCCAGACAATAAAGAAAGAACAGTTGTTTTAGTAGATGTTTGAATGAGAAGCCCAAAGTAAATAAGCTGATATAAACAGATGAGCACATCAGGCAGGAATGTAGACATTGAAGGGTTTGACTGTCCAGTTTACCTTTGGCCTTTGGTTTAAAATGCCATCAGCAGATAAAGAGACTCTGAGGCACGGGTGTGTTTCCTAATTACTGCGGTGACCTCATGGCCCTCGCATTAGCTCAGCAGAGCAGAGAGCCACCGCTGACTGCCAAAAGCTCGACTTACTCCGACACGCTCAGTGTTACCGGGTGATGTCAAATGACCCAGCTGCATTGGTCTTCACTCAGGCCAGTGAGCACCTGTGGTCAAGCGGAGACTGTATCGATTTTAAACACATTCAAATACAACAGCATCACTGTTAGGACTGAGACTTTAGAACACTTTTCAGATTAAGTCGACATAGTGTGGTTCTTATAGTAACAGATCAGTGACACTGAGAGCTGGTTTGCAGAATTCAAGGCTGAAGGTTCTGTAAAGATCACTGACAGAGCTCTAACTACAAGATAAACCAGTAACAGGAGTGAGAATGTGATTACTTATAGATATGTGGGATTTTTTAAAAGATAAACAGAATACAAATGTAAAATACTGACATGAGATGCATTAAAAAAGTTGCTTCTACTTGACAAAAACGTTTTTTCAAGGGTTCCTTAGTAAAGAAAATGGTTCTATATAGAACCATGAGCACTCAAAGAACCTTTGCAGGAGACGTGTGAAAAGCGTTCTATAATAGCACTCAAATGTGTTATTGTAATGATGTCAAGCTTGTAACAATAGAGGGACGCTTTTGGGTGCTATATAGAACCCTTTCAAAAAGGTTCTATGTAGAACCATCCGTAGCACATTTATGCACATTTTCCATCAATCTGAAGAACGCTACCGTGATGCAAAGAACCCTGTAATCTTGCAAAAGGTTTTCATAGTTCTATATAGAACCATTTTCTCTGCTTAAGGACCCTTAAAGATTCATCTTTTTAAGAGTGTACCACTATTGCTACTACTACTAGTTATAATAATAATCTTTATTTATATGCACTCTTTAAAAATATGGTTCTTCCAGGGTTCTATTCAGAACCATGAATTCTGTATAGAACCATTTGCACGGCTCTTTGCATGGTGAAAGTGTTCTTCAGATAGATGCAGAATGTGTATATGGTTCTATACAGAATCTTTTTGAGAAGGGTTTATATATAGCACCAAAAAGCGTTCAACTGTTATGATGTCAAGCTTGTAGCAATAGAACCGTTTTTGTTGCTATATAGAACCATATAGAACTATATACAACACATTCTCATGGTTCTAAATAGAACCACTCCCTTTACTAAGAGCCGGTTCCTTGAAGAAACATCTGTTTTAGTATATAGTATTTTTTTTCTTTTCAAAAGTGTTTTCCACAGGAAGGTAAGCAAAACATTGCAATGCCAAAAATAATAACTGTAAGTGAGAAATAACGTAATTAGTTTATATCTTGTGAGCTACTTAGAAGAATAAGGTCTGGTTCCAGATTTCTCCTGGATGCCCCCAGTTATCACATAGACTCCATCACAAGTGCACTGCTTTAACTGATTTAACAAAGTATTCATTAGCCAGGAATTGAATGAAAACTAAATAATACTGGACACAAACAATTACATTAACTACTAATCACTACTTTTTTAATTTGTGTTATTTATATTAGTACTTTTCCAAGCAAATAAACTCTTACTAAGCAAATAAACAGCTTTTTAAGGTGCTTAAAAGTTTTGCAAAGAAAAGCATCTTCCAACAACTGAGCTGTAAGGAGCTCTAGAGGCAGTTACATAGGCCTCTATCATTGTCTTCAAGGTTAAATGTGCACATCCTGCTTACTGTGTGCAAATGTGGTGAATATTCAATTCTGAAAGCTGTTGTTTCTGTCTGCTGGTCAGAATGAGGTCCAGGACGAATGGAATGGAGTCTCCAGACAGCGGGCACCTGCAGGTCAAACAGCCCAGGAAAAGCTTCCAGAAAGAGAAGGAGCTCGGGGACAGTATACAGGAGCTGATGAAGCAAACCGTCACTGTTGAGCAGGAGAAAGAGAGGGAGAGAAAAGATGAGAATGTGGCTCCTGGAACGGTGAAGAGAGCACAGAAACCTACAGATCAGTGCAGGAGGAAAGCAGGACTGATGGAGCTTTCCAAAGAAGAGCTGGTCCGCCTGCTCAGCATCATGGAGGGAGAGGTACAGGTAAGACATTACTGATATATGTACTTTTAGTCTCTGTTAAGGTAATCAGACTAATATTTATCATTTTGAATTGTACTGGTTTAAAGGTGCAGTGTGTAAGATTTAGGGGATCTATTAGCAGAAATGGAATATAGTATACAAAACCATGATTTTATTAGCAAATAATCACCTGAAACTACGAATTGTTGTGTTTTCGTTAGCTTAGAATGAGCCTACGAAACATAGGGAGCGGCTCCTCTTCCAACAGAGGCCGCCATGTTGTGTCGCCATGTTTCTACAGTAGCCCAGAACAGACCAACCAAACAGTGCCTCTAGTGATGCCTTTCACATTCTTATGGTGAAGCAACAACTTGAATTTGGTGTTGCTGTAGCTCTGGTTGGATGACGTAAAAAGACGAAGAATCAGTGGTTGCTGCTGGCACTGGCTAATTATTTTGTGTTGTGAGAAGTTTCAGGACCCTAATTTTGTCACATGAAGGATTATACTTATTATCTAGCACAAGTAAAAAGCAAGGGAGGGTGAATCTTCATTGTCAAAGAAGCGAAAACACGAAGAGGCAAAACGAAATTGGTATAGGCGAAGGCAGAACACCTGATGGCCACCGTTCTACTACACGTTTGGAAAGGGAGGGGTAAGGGATGGGTACTCTGTTTGTTGCAAGCCTCAACTTCGCTGCTAGATGCCACTAAATTTTACACACTGCACCTTTTAAAGACCCTTAAAAGCACTCAATAATGTGCAAATTCAAGTCAGATGTTTTATCACAGCATCAGTTTCACTTTGTTCTATTGAAGACTTTCTCAACATTCCTGTAAGAATGATTGCTGGAGTACAAGCTGATTTTTTGACGTCACAATGTGAGATTAACCTGTAATGGCCTAGTAAATGAGAATATAAGCTGAAGTGAAGAGTGTGGAGTTACCTTGCAGGGCCAAAATAAAGGTTTCAATATGAGTTATGAGTACATCAGAAATATCATCATAAATGTAATTTCATTTGATACAGTGACAGTGGCTATGGCAATGATGACTGTCTAATATCAAAGGTATAGTGCGGGTGGGGCCAGGGTGGGCTTATATGGCTTTTTGCAAAGCTCAGAATGTTTTTATTACCTTTGGTTCATCATCGTGTTGTAATGCATGCCGTTTTCACTCACCAATGAAATCGTTTCTTTCAAACTTGTATCCCCAATCTCACAGTACCACCAGCGCTAGGAGGGCAAGGGCAAAAACAGTCTTCCTCTAAGTCATGTAAAGCATCTTTGCTTGGGTTGTGGTGGAGGGGCAGTGGCCATCCTGCCCACCCCCAGAGGGACCTTTTGGAGTCCCGGCCACAGATGGCTGTAGATCGAACCGTGGATCGAACTTATGATCTTCTGATGATAGGGCCAACACTTAGACGGTTGCACCACTCAGGAGCCCCCATGTTTTGTGTCTTTTTAAAGAAAGTTCTACTTCATAAAGGTTGTAAAGCTCACTCCTGGACTACAGATGTCCACTGACCGTAGGGCTGTAGCTTATCGTAGGTTTTGCTTTGTTTTTTTTTTTGGTCAGCGGCAGTTAATTATTCATTATTAATTATATACAACTATTCATTAGATAAGTCTGTTGTACATTTCCAAAGAGCACAGGGTACCCCAGTAGCAATTTGTTGAGTCAGTTGATGTTCAGTCAAAGCGTGACTGGGCCTGTGTAACAATGACCTGCATTATTTTTCTGCCATCTATATGGCAGATGTACAGGATGTCTTTAACTTGCCCGTCAACGGCTGAAGAAGGCAACATGACAGTGAAATGACACAACACACAGGCCCCACTTTGGGCAGCCCAGCTGTGGAACATTCAGGCTAATGTTAGTGCTGTCGAAACAGTGCAGTTAGCAATCAAACAGCTGGGTCTGCATCAATTTTGTGAACTGATGTATTCTCTTCAGACTCTGAGTCAGTTATATTTCCTCATTGCCATTTTGCAATAACCTATTTTGCCAATGGTGATTAGCGTAGCATAACCAGGGTAGTAGAGCTGGGATGGCTGGAGGACACAGGGCATTTCCAATTTGCACAAACATGCGTATTCATAGATCTTTGTAATCCTTATGAGGCTAAGGGTGCAGAGAGGCTCTGTGACCATTTTAAGGTCAACCATTTTGTTCTTATTACTCAACATCCAATATTATTAATATTACTAATATTGTTTATTGTTTAACATCCATCAGAATTTTAATGGGCTAAACCGTTAAACCTTAATTCTTAAAACTACACTCTCCGTCCACCTTATCATAAACCCCTGCTTGTAACTGGTGGTCCATAACCTTAATAGTATTTGGACAACAGTGGTCCTGTGGTAAGAAACTGAACAATGGTGAATACAACAATATAGTGGATCTACAACGTAGATGTTTCTAATAAAGTGGCCAGTGGGTGGAAGTACAAGGTAGGTATTTCTAATAAAGTGGCCAGTGAGTGAAAGTGCAAGGTTCTTTAGTAAAGGCAATTGTTCTTGTTAGAACTCTGAGTTCTTTATAGAACCGTTTTGTACTTTGCATGATGAAATGGGTCTTTAGATTGATGAAGAACGTGTTGCATATGGTTCTATATAGAACCTGTTTGGAAATGGAACCCAAAACAAACTGCTTTTGTTACAATGTCAAGCTTGCATACAATAGAAGAACACTTTTTGGTGCTTTATAGAACCATTTTCTAAATAGAACCATATATGCAACTTTCTTTATCAATCTGAAGAACACTTTCACCATGCACTGAACCATTTCAGCATTCAAATGGTTCTAAATCAAACTCATGGTTCCAAATAGAGCTATTGTCCTGAAAAACCCTTGAAGAAACATCTTTTTAGTGTGTAGGTCTTTTAAATAAAGTGGCCAGTGAGTGTGTATAAACTGGCCTCAAAGTGTATGGCTCCCTCTTGTGGGTACTGTAGGGTAGTGCACTTACATAATCCCAAGCTGGACTCCATTAAGTCCCAGCTTTATGACCTTACTGACACTACTGGTGAATCATCCAACCCTTTGATGCAGTTATTAAGCCATTGGGACTCTTTAATGAGACTAAAGATGATTGTGATGGATTGTTTTGGCAGGCTCGTGAGGACATTATCCACATGCTGAAGTCAGAGCGGACACAGCCTGAGGCCCTTGAGGCTTATTATGGCTCGGCTGCCCCCATCAAACCCCTACAGGCCCTGCAGAGGGACAACCAGCTGACCTGTGACAGAGCTCCCCAGGACGACGTCTATGAGATCCCCATGTTGGAGGTTAGACACACCAAGGGAAATGCATTTAAATGCGTGCCTTCTGTTAGCACAATGCAGTTCATCATGTTCACAGCAAAATCATCAGCGTTAAAGAACACGTGTCATGGAAAAGTTTAGTTTCCTTGCTTTTTGAAGTAAGACTTAATTTAAATGTTGAATTTAAATGTTGAAAGTTTTAATTTATCATGCAATCATTAACACTTTTACGAATGACTGCTCATTAATATTCAAGTGTTGCTGTAAACCTGAATGAAGTGGCTGGCTGAACTTTGTTTTATAACATCAGTGAGAATTTCAGTTCGAGCAGTTTGATAAAGGAACAATACAGGGCAGCCAATCAGAACAGAGCTCATTTACATTAAGTCTTAAAGGGGGTTCTGGCATAGAACTAGCCGTTTTGGGGATTTTCGCCCAGTTTTTCTCCCCAGTTTAGTCTTGGCCAATACTACCTGTTGGCTAGATCTCCTCCTACCGCACAACGCTACAAAGCTGGAAGGGTGAAGCATGTTAGGAGCTTTTCAAAACTGCTGCTAATGCAACATCATTGGACAGCCCAGTACACCTGGTGGAGAACACTTTTCAATCCTCTTACATCAGCTAACTAAATGATGACGGGAGGGGAAGGACCATCCTACCCACCCAGAGAGAGAGACAGAGAGAGCACAGTTATGTTCTCTTGGATGTCTGAATATGGCATCACAGTTATCTGACGTTAGGGCCAACACTTAGATGCCTCTGCCACATTGGAGCCAGTGATGTAAACATGTGGGTTAGCCAGCTAGTGGAAAAAACAGAGCCTGCCCTCAAGTATCCACCCAAAAAGTTCCTCCCACCTTTGAGATCTGAAGGGTTTTTTTCCTAGTCTTTAAACCAGAAAATCTCACTCTCTGGATTGTTGTGGCATCACAGTATAAGGCAAGTAGGCATGTAGCAATGGTTAAAGAGAGCTTAAACAGTCTGTTTCATTTTAAGGGACATAGAGAGGTTAAAAATTGTCATATAAAAATGAATTATGACAAAAAATAAATACAAGAACAATGGGCTCCTTAAATGAACACCTGCACTCATCATGTGAGATGCTGACAGGTGCATTTTCAGTGCTGTTGAGCAGTTTTAGTTGAATTTTGAACTTTGGATTTTACTTTATTCACATGAATATGTTTTTTTGTATGAAGTTGGACCGTTTAGAGGAGAAGCACAGAGAGACGTACAGGCGCATGCTGGAGCAGCTGCTCCTGGCTGAGAAGTGCCACCGCCGAACCATCAATGAACTGGACAGCGAAAAACGCAAACACACCGACTTCATGAACAAGAGTGACGACTTCACCAACCTGCTGGAGCAGGAGCGCGAGAGGTACTGAATGAGTGGGGGTGTGCTCAGTAAAAGTTTGGGCTTTTTAGATTTTCTAAATATTCTTACTTTTAAAAAGAAAACATCAAATCTTGCAGGCCCTGCAGAAGGACAGCCTTACAGGCAGTGTAACAGTTTGGGCGTCCCTGGTCAAATTATGTTTTGCAGATTCCGTAAGTGAAAATAAGTTAACACAGCATCTACAGGCAACACATTTCTGCACATTTTGAAGCGCAATTACTATCAAATTGCTGAATCAATTTGGAGGCAGAATTGTGGCTGCTAGCTAGGTCTCCCCAATCACACAATGCTACCAAGTTGGGAGGGTGAAGGCTAGATTGTGCTTCCTCTGAGACACAGGAAGTTCCACCATATCTTTTCAAACTAAAATTGGACAGCTCAGCACGCTTTGAGGAGAACCTCTAGTTTGACAGTTCCAAACTATTGTTAAAAGCACATTTTGGCCAACTGCTTAGTGTTTAATATGTAAATTTGTTAGAAAATGACAAAGAAAGTGTTGTCACTGCTAGAGTAAAATCTCCATTTGTTGTTTTTTTTTTCTTTTAAAAATTAGAAAAATTTAAAAATGCCAACTGCCATTTACACTATGTCTAAATTTTATGATGAATGGACCAATAGAAATACTCCAGAATTACTTGGAGCAAAATCATAATCCATTAACTTCCATTAGAGGGCCCAATCATAGACAACTGAATTACTACTACTTTGAAAAAAAAGAGTTTGAGTTTTGTATAAAGTTATAAAACATATTGTTCACTCTTCAGTCCATACAGTCCGTATATGGAAATTAATACTGAATTCACTGTTTCTGTGAGATTACAGAAATCAACACATTTTAACATAACCGTCTATTCAGCCTACAGCAATTTAGCCCCGCCCATTCACACTGAAGTTATAAGGAGTGTTTCCACCTGGACTGCTTTTTAAATTAGAGACAACAGAAGACAGCCAATCGCCTCTGTTTTATTTACATATATCAGTCTTAAAGGCACAGTAACAAAAAACAGCCTGTTTAATGGTAAGGGATAAAGAGAGGTTGGAAACTAGTCAAATCATTTTGGAGAAACTACACTCTTGAAAAATGTCCTTTAAGGGTACTTTGAAAAATGGTCCTATATAGAACCATGAACACTCAAGGAACCTTTGCATGATTAAAGGATTCTTTGCATGGTGAAATTGTTCTTCACATTGATGGAGAATGTCTTGTAGATGGTTCTATATGAAACCTTCTTGAAAATGGTCCTATATAACACCAAAACCAAACCTTTACATTATGAACCCTTAAAAGGTTCTTTACACTTGCAACTTTTTTCTTTTTCATGGAACCAAAACTGTTTTTGTTACATAAACTCACACAAATATTAAAAGGGATCTCAGGAGATGTATGATAGGGCCCTTTAAGTACACACTGAAAAAAGGGTTTTTAGTAAAGGCAGTAGTTCTGTTTAGAACCCTGAGTTCTGTATAGAACCATTTGCATGCTCAAATCGTTCTTTGAAAGGTGAAATAGTTCTTCAGATTGATGGAGATTGTGTTGTATAGTTGAATGTATGTGCGTTTTGCTGTTGTTACGACCTCAAGCTTGTAATAATAGAGTAACCTTTTTGGTGCCATATAGAACCCTTTTCAAAAGGATTCTATATAGAACCATCTTCAGCACATTCTGCAACATTGTACAGAACCCTTTAATCATCTTTAATCATGCAAACAGTTACTTGAGTGTTGATGGTTCTATATAGAACCATTTTCTTTACTAAAGAGCCCTAGAAGAACCAACCTTATTGAAAGTGTAGGTTTTGTTGCAACAGCAGCGAAATGCTTATTTGTATGAAGACATTCAGAATGGGTAGCTGTCCCCAAACAGCTATGATGATGGGCAGTATATGTGTGTCATTCCATTCACATACAGCATAAAGCTCATGGCAAATTCACACACACAGCGGGTGGTCTAAAGAAAACAACCACCCTAAAAACAGAGCGGCACTGATTTTACACAATACAAATGTGTACGTCATTTCCACATGACTAAAATACATGAACACAGTCATTACCAAGAGGAAGCTGAAAGTTTTCATTTGAATTGAGCAAATTCATATCGTCAGAACAAAACCTCTTATTTCCAAAAGGTAACTTTATAGGAGAAGCAAGAAACATGCTTAACTCTGAATGGAAGTTAATGGAGAGATTATTTATTCGGGGTCATTTTGGGCCATTTGTATGTGTCCATTCAATATAAAACTTTGACACAATGTAAAGGGCAGCTGGCAGTTTCATTACATTAGAAGGTTTTGTCCCAAAAGAGACAGTATATGTAACATATACTGCAGCTCCAGTCTCCATAAGCATGGGCTTTGGTTAAATCACACAAAGACCCCCACACAGCAGTGTATGAAGCAGAAGGAGCTCCAGAGTGGGCCCCCTAAAGCCCCTCTGATTAGTGAAAGATGAAGAGGCCACCCAAAGGCAAACGACACAACAGGCAGCACCTCCGGGAAACAGCTTTTATAGCGGCTCGCGGCAAAGTGAGATGTCATAGCACAAAGGCCAGCGATCCGTAGCCAATTAGCACAGACGCTAATATGAGATTATAGTGCTGGGGCTCAGAAGATTTAAGGTTCAATATTTATTGTCAAACAAATAAAGTTTGGAATTTAATTTAGTGTGTTCAGTATCCAGAAACAGCACTGAGACTACCCTTAATTTATTTACTTTGCAGTCAAAACAGCCATTAAATGAGGAGATGACATATAAAATAAGTTTTTCCAACACTGGAGTTCAAAAACTGATTAAAAGCTACAGAGAAAATGGGACCCCTAACAACTACCTGGAAGACCTGGTAAACACCAAAACTGTCCCCATCAGACAAACAGCACTTAAAGCTTTCATCTTTGAGAGAGAGGAGAAAATCAAGCTGCTTCAGATCTGAAAACATCTACAGGTGTTTCTGTCCATCCTTCCACTGTGAGAAGATGACTCAGCGCTATGGGTCTGAAAGGATGTGTTGTTGTCAAGAAGCCTCACTGAGAAAAGGAGACGGACACATCAAACAAAGAAGCTGAACAATGGACTGACCACCCCAGAGTCCAGACCTCATCATTAACCAACTTCTAAGACTGAACTTTTATTAGTTGCTGAGGCTTTGAGTAATTTTCTTTTAAATATATGTTTTTACTTTTCTCCCTGATGCTAAACAATGATCAATTTGTACTTAATGGCTGTTTTGACTGGAAACTAAGGCAATTGAAGGTGATCTTTTTTCACAGTAATGCATGATAAAACTACAAAAACAACAACAAAGCCAAAGTACAGCAGCATGAAAAATATGTACAGTAAGTAAAGCATACAGTAAGTTTATGTGCTGAATTTAACATACTGAGAAAAAACAAAAAATAAAATGGCCTGTGCAAATGGTATGGTACATTTTATATTGTGTTTTTTTCCCAATATGTCAAATTCAGCAATAAAATAACCAATAATAATAAATAGAAATTGTGCACTAAAATTAGCAGAAAATGCCATATTTCAGTGTGGTTTTTGTAGAGGATGTGTCAACATATTATCAACAAAACGTCATTTGACCGGGGGTGCACAAACTTTCACATACGTAAACCACATATGTGGTGATTATGGTGCTGGAACTTGATGGCACATAGAGTTCAGATGACATCAGTGCTGCATCAAAATATTAACCCTTGGAAGTTTAGAGTTATTTGTTATGATGCTATAATATTTAAAAGTAATAAAATAATTACACAATAAATGAGTGAACAATAAAATTGTTACTTAATGAAGTGTATTTACATTCAGTGTACATTCTGTAACAACTGCACTTTTTCAAATAATGACATAATCGTGGCAAAAATGTAAAGACGTTTATTTATTTATGTAAAATAAGAGTGTCTGACATACCTTTTCACTAAATATATGTGAAATATTTCTTGTTCTGCTTAACAAACACAACTAAAAGTTTAGAATCTGCACTGTCCACACAATTTCTCCACTTAACACAAAGTTTTAATAATAATATCTTTAATATTATGGTCACTGTCCAAAGAAAAACATTTTACTTTACTATAAACTTTACTGGAGAAGGCAAAAAATACTTAACCTTTAATGTAAGATCTCTAGGTGTCAATAATGACTTTCTGATTCTAGCAGTATCTGAGCTCAGGACTGGCTTTCTCTCTAACCTATTGGTAACTAGCAAAGATACTTTCTCTGGATAGACAAAGCACTTTTTGTAAGTCGCTCTGGATAAGAGCGTCTGCTAAATGCTGTAAATGTAAATGTAAATGTAAATTACATCATGCTTTTGTTATTGCAGTGATATCACTAGGTCTGTTAAGGGTTAAGAGCAGAGGCTGAAATACAGAGTTGTGTTTGTTCGCTTGGCTGAGGGATCTCTGAAGCATCCCAAAGCTTCGTCCTTCCAGTTCTTAAAAAGGCTCAACAAGTCGGGACAGGGGTGCCGTTAATGTCCCGGGCCCATCTGATAAGACCCGTACAGTAGATGATGGCAATCAGGCTTATGGAGCGTGTGTTTGGGGGGCCGGTGGTGATATGGGAGCCTAAGCTGCTACGCACAGCTGCATTCTCACTTAGCGGAAAATCAAGGGTCCCAAAAGCTCAGTACATCACTACAATACACAGTACCTCGCTGCTTTCACAACAGGATGCTTTCCTTCCACCGTCTACCTCCGTCTGAGACGCATTAATTTAGACCCTCATTGTTATCATTATATCATTTTATCGTTATTGTCATTACTATTATCATTATTATTATGTTTATGTTTTTTTTAGTGTTTATTTGTTTAAGTGCATTTAAAGTGCAAATAATTAGTGCACATGATACACCAGATTCGCTGTGCCTTTAACTATGCCTCTTCAACAACATGGCTTCACTAAGGCCCAATCCCATTTCTTATTTTAACCCCTACTCTTTGTTTATGAGTGTCACCTTGCCTCTTGGAACTGAGCTACAA